AGAATGCCCTTGACATTCTGGGGTGGGGTAGGCAAGAGAATTCATAAAGTATCTGGACTGGAAAATGTTACCGTTCGTGGCCCCCTTTTGTGTTGGATTTGGAAGGGAGCAGTGGGGGGGGGCACAATTGCCTAGCAAGGAGCTGCTTTGGCGTTTTTGGGGAGGGAAGTCGATGTAGTCCATTGCCTTTGCAGGTTGTGTAGAACACAAAACATTAAGAAGTTGAAGCATAAAGAGAATGCTGAGACAGGCACTGTCTTTCTCTCCACAGAAGAAGATGAAGCTGCGAGGGACTAAGGACCCGTCAGTTGCAACCGTGGGAAAATACGGGACTCTGCAGGAGTTCTCCTTCTTTGACAAGGTCTGCTGGTCAGGCGTGAGAGGGGACAAGGGGATTGCAGCTTACTGGCAGAGCACCTGCTTTGGAAGCTGAATGTCCCTGGTTCAGTCCTTGGCATGTCCAGATAAAGATGATGGCTTATTTTCTTAACTTAAGAATACAAGAGCCCTAGTGGTCCATCTAGTCCAGCATCCTGTTCCATCCAGTAGTCAACTAGTTCTGGAGGACCAATAAACCACGTAGAAGCTGAGGTTTTTTCCTCCTCCTGCTTCCCAGCACTGGCGTTCACAGGCTGACTACTTTTGTATATAAAAGCTCCCTTTACTCACTGTGGTTAGTAGCTACTGATGGGCCTCTCCTCCATGCATCTGTCTAATCCCCTTTTGAAGCATCTGTGCTCGTGGCCGACGCAACCTGTACTGGCAGCCAGTTCCATAATTTGATTACTTGTGTAAAGAAGCGTTTTTTGGTCCATCCAGTATTTGTTGCCCATCAAATTCCTCCAGTGCATTTATAAGAGAAGAAGAAGTAGTTCTGTCCGCTTTCTCTACCTCGTGCAGAATTTTAGAGCTCTCTGTCCTCTCCCCACTCAGCCGTCTTTTCCCTAAACAGAATAGTTCCAGACTCTTCAGTCTTTCAGTGTTATAAAGTTGCTTCAGCCCACATCTTGGTTGCCCTTTCCTGTACTTTTTCCAGCTTTGCATTCTCTTTTGAGACACAGTCACCAGTTTTACTTTCAGTCCCTTTCCTAGTAAACCCCAGTACGGAGTTTGACTTTTGTCACCATAATGACACACCAAGTTGACATTTCTGCCAGTTCAGATCCCATCCCCATATCTGAAGTCAGGATTTTTTGTTCCAGTGTGCATCGGCTGACGCACTGAGCTTCATTTGCCACGTTGTTGGCTCACTCAACTTAGTGAGATCCTTCTAGAGCTCTTCGCAACCCAACTTGATTTTCACCCACCAGAATAATTTGGTAAACATGGCCACTACATTGCTGAAACTCCCCCCACCCCCCTCAGTTTGAGATCATTTATGAACCGTTTCCACTGACCAATCAGGGCAGTTCCGCTATAGAAGGCAACTTCTTTGCTCAGCGGCAGAGCAACTGCTTTGCAAGGTGACGGTTTGGTCCCCTGTGAAAGGACTTCTGGCGGCAGGTGTTGGGAAAGAACCAGGGCCAGAGCTGAATAGCACTGGGCTTGCATGGACCACTGGCCTGGAAGGCAGGGCTGCTTCCAGTATTCATAAACATTTGGGGATGTCCCGTGGCTTAGTGGCAGAGCACCTCATCTGCATGCAGAGAATATCTGTGGTGCAGCCCACCCAGCCCCCTTCAGCGTCTCCAGGCAGAGGTGTCAGAAAAGACCCTTCTCCCTGCGACCCCAGGGAGCCACTGCGAGGCAGAACAGACAGCAGGGTGCTGGAGAGACCCCAGCAGTCTCATCTGATGGAAGGCAGCTTCACGCGGACCCACTGGCTTAGCAGTGGCTGACTCCATGCCATCCATAGCAGGCATCTTAGTACCAGGCAGTCCCAAAGCATTGGTGTGTATGGCAACATCTCAAAAGAACAGCACCATCAGTAGACTGGGAAATATTTCACTGCTAGCCCTGTTGCTGCTGCAAGATACGAACCCAAAGGGAGCTGCTCGAGAGCCCTTCAGTGATGCTTTGGATGTGAAGCTGGAGCGGGTCAGGAGCTGCAGGGAGCTTATTTTCTCTTACTTATTTAGAACGTTTCTATGCTTTCTAAAGACCTGCTCACGGACGTTCACGAAGTAAAATACAGTAACAAATATAAAAATAGCATCAAAAGTATTGTTAAAATGAACAAAACCATTAAAAAGCCAGCCATAAGACCCACGCACGTTTGCTTGTTGTGGGGAAAATAGAGTGGGGTATCTGGGTTGACTTTAAAGGGCCCCCCGGCTGGTTTTGCAAGATGCGGTCTTGCCAGTGTGAATAGTAGCTGGGCTGTTTAGGCTGCATACATCCCTCAAGGGGGTAGCGATGGTATCTGGGCTTGTGTAGTGTAGGGACTACCTGGGGGTGCAGAGGGATTTGGCCAGAAAGGAGCCCCAAGCAGAAGCAGGCCTGGGGGGGGGGGCTCAACAGGAAGTAGGGAACACCCAGGAAGAGGCTGCTGGGCATGGAGCCACCAGTCCTGGCTGGAACTCCTGCAGGCCAAAGGGATCCAAGATTGTTGGGCCTGGCTGGGCCTGGTGGGCTCCCTAGCTGTGGCCACCACCACTAGTGCAAAAGGCAGGGTGTGTGGAGGAACAAGTCTTCCTGGGCACAGGTTTGCACCGCCCCCTAACCAGGCAAAGGTGCCACGTACTTTCTGGTCTTGTCGGCAGGTGCGCAGAGTCCTCAAGAGCCAGGAGGTCTATGAGAACTTCCTCCGCTGCATCGCTCTCTTCAACCAAGAGCTGGTGTCGGGCTCTGAACTTCTGCAGCTGGTCACCCCTTTTCTGGGGTAAGAAGACTTTTTGCAAATTCTTTTTCTTCAGCTGGCAAGATGTCTGTTAAGTTTGGCAAGGGCTGTGCTTCCCTTCAGATAGACTCAGACCTCTCGAAAAGATCTCTCTTTGGGCCAGACAGTGGGAGGGCTTCCTCAGTGTGTGGAAAGTCCTCTGTAGGTGAACAGGTCACGTTTCTGCCCCCACTTGATCCTTGCCCTCTGTTCTGTGGCTTCTAACGGCTTTTGTCTGAGAGCTCTCTACACAGGGGTAAACAAGTGTGTGTGTGGGTGCTGTGTTGTTCATTCGCACAGTTGAGTCTGACTCTTCGCAACCGCATGAACCACATCACACCAGGTGCTGTAAATTCATCCTACTCAGTACAATTACTGTCCAAGTGGTAGTAATTAAAATAATAGAATAATAACAATTAAACAAAGTAACAATTAAAAATAGTAGTAGAAAATAGCTAGTTGCTATTGATGAATAAAACCAATAGAAAATTTGGCCCAAGTTCTCAGAACTGACAACACATACAACAAAGGCAAGAACAATCATGAAAAATTTCAGAAATAAAAGCCGGGGTGGGATGGGGTGGGAGCCAGTTTGGTGTAGTGGTTAAGAGCGCAGACTACAATCTGGGTTTGATTCCCCACTCCTCCACATGCAACTGCTGGGTGACCTTGGCCAAGCCACAGTTCTCTCAGAGCTGTTCTCTCAAGAGCAGTTCTCAGTCAGAGCTCTCTCAGTTCCACCTACCTCACAGGGTGTCTGTTGTGGGGAGGGGAAGGGAAGGAGAGCGTGACCTGCTCTGAGTGAAGGGCGGGGTATAAATCCAATCTCCTCTTCTTAAAGGACCGGCAAAGTAAAAATATTGTTGCCTGGCATCAGCAGCCATGGCACCAGGCAACTTTCTGTGGGGAGGATATTCTAAAGTTGGGGTGCCACCACAATAAAGGTCCTGTATGCAGTCTCCTTTGGGAGAAGATAGCCTTTGATTAGTAGCGAAAGCAGCTCCAGATTGCAGCAGGGGATTGTTATTGATCCAGTCAAAAAGGAGGAAAGGGTCTGGCCAGTGAGAACATCAAGGAGTATGAGTTGCAGTGTTCCCTAGTGGTTGGAACAGGAGACTCCGGTTTGATTCCTTCTGCAGCCACGCACTTCAGCCATGGTGACTTGGATCATCTTTTATCGTTCACCACCCTGGGCACCCTAAACTGGATGGAAAGGCGACTTGAGACTGTTCTAAATAAATAAAATACTTCCCCTCACAGAGGAGTTGTGAAGATAAAACAGGGAGGGGATGGCTTCACCACCCTGAGATAAAACGGGATGGATGGGATTGTTTTGTTGGCTGTGTCCCCCCGTAATCTTCACGACTGATGGGTGCTTAGCGCTGGCACTCTGGCAAAGCAGGCTGTTACCTAGAAGAAGAAGAAGAGGTTGGATTTATACCCCACCCCCTTCACTACCCAACGGAGTCTCAGAGCGGCTTACAAGCTCCTTTCCCTTCCTCTCCTCACAACAGACACCCTGTGAGGCAGGTGGGGCTGAGAGAGCTCTGACAGAAACTGCTCTTTTTTCAAGAACAGCTCTGGCAGAACTATGCCACTGGATCCTTGTGCAGAATAAAGTTTCCTTTTTTTTTTCTTTTCCTTTTTAGGAAATTCCCTGAACTCTTTGCCCAGTTCAAGTCCTTCCTGGGTGTGAAAGAGCTCTCCTTTGCCTCCCCGCTGAGTGACCGCTCTGGGGACGGGATGTGCCGGGAGATTGACTACGCCTCCTGCAAGCGCATCGGCTCCAGCTACCGGGCCCTCCCCAAGACCTACCAGCAGCCCAAGTGCAGCGGCAGGACGGCCATCTGCAAGGAGGTAGGTGGCCCAGGCCGGCCCCGTCTCGTCAGATCTTGGCAGCTCAGCGGGATCGATCCTGGCTGGCCCCCAAGGAAGACCAGGGTTCTTGTGAGGAGGCCGGGAGCGGCAAACCACTTTGGTTGGTCTCCTGCCTCGAAAATGCCACAAGGCCGTGACTGGCCTGCGCTCCCCACCACCGCCGGGCCACTTCCACTGCCTGAGGGTGGCTAGCCGTGTCTCGGATCGTGGGAGAGCAGCTAGCCGTGGGGTTTGCCCCAGGAGAAGTCAGGTCAGAAGCTGCTGGTTCTCGGCTCTACAGGTGCTGAACGACACGTGGGTCTCGTTCCCCTCCTGGTCTGAGGATTCCACTTTTGTGAGCTCCAAGAAGACACCCTATGAAGAGCAGCTGCACCGCTGTGAGGACGAGCGGTTTGAGGTACAATGGGGGCAGCCTCTTCCCTTTCCCCCACCCAGTGCCTTTTGGAACGGGGAATGATCCGAAGCGAGCTCTTCAGTTCTGTGCTTCGGTTTGACTGGCATCCTTGCTGTCCCCAAAGTCTGGCCTGTAGGAGGCGGCTGGTGGTGAGCCAACTTCTTCCCACCATCCCGATCAGATCAGTGCTGCTTAAGCATCTGGGAAAAAGACGGCTTCATCGCGCGCCCTTGACCCCACCGTCCGGGGAGTTGGGGTCATCAGAGGCTCTCTGACCGGCCGCTCCTGCTCGCCTTTCCCGCCTCTCATGATTCACTTTCCACAGCTGGACGTGGTCCTGGAGACCAACCTGGCCACCATCCGGGTGCTGGAAAGTGTGCAGAAAAAACTGTCCCGCATGTCGCCAGACGACCAGGAGAAGTTCCGGCTGGATGACTGTCTGGGTGGCACTTCAGAGGTGATCCAGCGCCGGGCCATCTACCGCATCTATGGTGACAAAGCCCCAGAGATCATTGAGAGCCTGAAGAAGAACCCTCTTACTGCAGTCCCTGTCGTCCTGAAGAGGTAACCGGGTCCTTGGCTCTCCCTTTCGTGAAATCCGGGGGCTGTCGTTGGGTTCTGCTTGTCTTGGGCCCAGGTGCCTGAGCTTCCGGAGTCATCTGTCTTGATGGGGCACTGCTTCCGTCGTTCTTCCTTTGGTGCGGGGGGGGGCATATAAACAGGTCCCTCATAATCTGTTGCATACTATAGGGTTTATTTTATATTTTTATTGGTTTTTGTAAATAGTGATAACATTGATACAACAAATGGTTACATAACTGCTTAAAAGTGAATATAACACAATGTGTAAGCTATATCATTACAGCTCTTGTACATACAGTACATGTTTTCATTTTTGGGGGATGTTTTCAATCTGTCCAATGTAACATAACCATTTCCCCCCCCCTTTTATATATATTAAGCTAGAACAAAAATAAACAAACAAATAAAGCAAAAAAGGAACAGAAAGGAAAAGAATTCCTAGTCGGTAATACAAACATTTTGACTTTAAATCCATTTGTGGTACTGGGTCCATTCGGAAGAGATAAATTGTTGTTGAGACAAGTAGTCAAGCACTGGGTACCATTTGTCTGTGAATATTGTTAGTGTCGGCTTCTGAGACAGGAAATTTAGTGTATTTGTGACTGCATCCATTAAGTAATGGCTCCATAATTTCTTAAACCACGCCTCAATACTGGGTGCTTTATTATCCTTCCAGTATGATGCAATTGCAGTTTTCGCTGCATCCAACATGACTTCCACCGTAGCTTATCTTTTGGCCAGGTATTTAAAAATAAAACCTCGGATGTCAACGGAATTTGTGTTACACAGAGAGATGTGAAGGCCCAGACTGGGCGGGGGCGGGGGATACACAGAAATTTTGGAAATTTGGGGGAGTCCTGAAAAAAAATCCTCCCATGAAATATTTTCTTTTAGATGAGCATGCTTGTAGTCATAGACTGCTCTTAAATCCAAGATGCGGTTCCAAACCTAAACAGATACCAAATCTTCATGAGGAGAGTGTGCAGGGCTTTCATTGTTTTTCTACTGTTGCATGCTTTGCTGTTCTTAGACCTGATTCCACCCTAGTGGTTGACCTTTTTATCTTTCCCTCAGACCACTGTGACCCATACCCACAGATTAGCTATTAAGTCGCTAGTTTCACTAAGGTAACAGAGTAAATCAGTGTGCAGATTTCTCTGTCGTCTTGGATATATTTGCAGTTTTGCTTGTAGAAAATTGAGGCATTTCTAACTTAAATTCCATGGTATGTCCAGTATTTCAATTTTGTATACTAAGTAAGTTATGATGCATTTTATGTTGTTGAAGCAATAAAATTGGCTTAGGTTTGACAGGACAGTAAGCGTTGCATGTATTTCAATTATTCCCAATATTTCTGGTGTTTTTCTGGAAAAAAACCCCCAAACCCTGCATGTTTTTCATGGCTTTCAAAATTTGTGGAAACGTTACACTTCTAGTTCTCCTGTCTGGTCTCAGGCCGTGTTTTTCTCCGGCCGTGGCCTGGCTTTTCCTCCTTGGGGCTTTCCATGCTCTGTTGCAGGCTGAAGGCCAAGGAGGACGAGTGGCGCGAGGCCCAGCAAGGCTTCAACAAGATCTGGCGGGAGCAGTATGAGAAGGCCTACCTGAAGTCCCTCGACCACCAGGCCGTGAACTTCAAGCAGAACGACACGAAGGCCCTGCGCTCCAAGAGCCTGCTCAACGAGATCGAGAGCGTCTACGACGAGGTGTGTGTCTGCGTGTGGTTGCACTGGGGGGGGGATTTGAGTCCGTTGCGGCAGGCGGGGAGGGCAGCTGTTGACCTCTGCTCTTTCGGGCCTCCTCTTCAGCACCAGGAGCAGCACTCCGAGGGAAGGGGAGCAATGAACGAGCCGCACCTCATCTTTGTCTACGAGGACAAGCAGATCCTGGGCGACGCGGCTTCCCTCATCACCTACTACGTGAAACGGCAGCCGACCATCCAGAAGGAGGACCAGGCCACCATCCGGCAGATTGTCCAGCGCTTTGTTCCTGACCTGTTTTTCTCACAGCTGCCCGAGCACCCTGTTCCAGAAGAGCTCCCCAGTGAGGAGAAGGGCGGCCTCAAGGCCGCCCCTCTGGACACGCGTGACTTGCGGAAGCGGAACGCCACGGGCCCCCAGCCCAGCCCCCTGGAGAGCAAGGCGCCCGCCGTGGAGGCGCATGAGCTGCGGAAGAGGCCTGTCCCGGGGCCCCCTCCCAGCCCCCTGGAGGAGAAGCCGCCTGCCCCGGAAGGAGGCCATGAGCTGCGCAAGAGGAACCCCCCACCGGGGCCGCCCACGAGCCCTGCCAGCGCCAAGGGGGCCCCTCCCCGCCCCCTGGGGCCCCATCGCTCGCTGGATGACGTCTACACGCTCTTCTTTGCCAACAACAACTGGTACTTCTTCCTCCGCCTCCACCAGACGCTGTGTGCCAGGCTGCTCAAGATTTACCGCCAGGCGCAGAAGCAGCTTCTGGATTACCGGACGGAGAAGGAGAAGGAGAAGCTCCTTTGCGAAGGCCGGAAGGAGCGCTCAAGCGACCCCGCCCTGGAGCTGAGGCTGAAGCAGCCAAGTAAGCCGCTCGTGCAGCTCTGGGGGCTCGGGGCGCCCTGGGGGGGGGGGGATGGGGAGAGCTGTTTACGTTGCCCCAGGACCTGTAGTAGAGACTTGGCGGCAGTGCTCCCTCTAAGCCGAGTTAGCGTGAGCGAGCTCAGTTTTTTAGCCTCCGGTTCACACACTTTTGTCTGAGCTGAGGAAGGGACGACTCCAGAGCACACTAATTTATGCAGTAGCCAAATCGCTGGCTCACAGCTTTCATGCCAGTAGCTCACAAAGGAGAATTTTTGTTCACAAGGCTCCACGGCTTAGAGGGAACATTGCTTGGTGGGCGACATGAGGTCCTCCTCTCAGCTCTGAAGGCTTTCTGGTTGGTGCCTCTCGGTCTCGAGCATCCGAATTTGGAAACTTAGATCCTCTTATGGAAAACCTTTGTGTGTGTGCGTGTGTGTCCCTCTCGCCCCGTTCCCCCCAAATCTTTCCTGGAGTCCGGTTTGTTTGTGTGGCAAACGGCATCATCCAGCTTCTGATGCAGAATTTCCTTTCCTGAGTGTTTCAGCTTTTCAGCCTTGGTGTCGAAGAGCAAAGCCGAGAGGCAGGTGGGTCAAGGGGACCGAGGCAGCTGCTGTCCATCTGCCGCCGCCCCCCGGCCCCCTTTACCTCTTGATTCCACCCTAACTGTGTGAAGGCAGGGGGAAGCCAGTGAAGTGGGGAGGCATCTTGGACTGCCTTGGGGGTGTGTGTGTGAAATGCTGTCAGGGTTGTTTATGGGGCAGGGGGAGACATCAGGCTGGGGGGGATGGGCAGAGGCAGAAGATGTGGGGCATGAACGGGTCAGGCGGGGCACGCCAGTGGTTGCTGCTGACGCAAGGGTGCTGGGGCGTCTGCCAGTCTCCACTTGATGGGCAGAAGAGCTCTTGGGGTGAGCTGTCCTTTGGGAGTTCTTCTCTTCTTTTGTCCCTGACAAGCTCGCCCCCCCCACTCCCCCGGGGGTGGACCCCTGGTTCCGTGGATCACAGTGTCTCTTCCTGCCTAGGCGAGGTGGAGCTGGAGGAATATTACCCAGCATTCCTGGACTTGGTGAGGAATCTGCTGGACGGCAACATTGACCCCACCCAGTACGAGGACACCTTGAGGGAGATGTTCACCATCCACGCCTACATTGGCTTCACCATGGACAAGCTGGTGCAGAACATCGTTCGGCAGGTAATGGCAGCCGGGTGGGCGGGCAGGTGCTCTGGTGCTCGCCTCCTGTGGAAGATGAGGCCAGGCCAGGTCTCCCTGCCTGTTGCTTTGGGGCAGGCGGGGACCACAGCGAGTGGGGCACATGCTCTTCTTCAGGAGAGAGACCAGAAGCAGGAATCGGCTTGTCTGGTCTTTGGTCTGCATCTTGGCATGGGTTGTGGTCTGCCGATGGGACCCCGGAGGGCTAGACCTCGGTAGCCGCCTACCTGGGCCATTCTGAGCTGTTCCGCCTTCTGTCGGACTTGCCTGGGCAGCATTTGGGGGGGTGGGGGTCCTGCAGGCCACTTGCAAGGCACCTGTGTTAAGGGGGTGCTGTTCCTAGCAGAGCAGAACCACGGGGTCCAAGCGGCTTATTAGTGGATGAAGGCCTCCAGCCGTTGGGTCATGGTCACTTTCCCCTGTTTCTTCTCAGCTGCATCATTTGGTTAGCGATGATGTCTGCCTCAAGGTGGTGGAGCTGTACCTTAGTGAGCGGAAGCGGGGCGCAGCCGGGGGCAACCTGTCCTCGCAGTGCGTGCGGGCGGCCAAGGAGACGAGCTACCAGTGGAAGGCCGAGCGCTACATGACGGATGAGAACTGCTTCAAGGTGCAGAGCCCGCCTTCTCCTCCACTTCCTTAGGTCATGCCCTGAACCCGGATGGCCCAGGCGACTCCGATCCCATCGGATCTTAGAAGCTAAGCAGGGTCAGCCTTGGCTGGTATTTGGAAGGGCAACCTCCAAGGAATATCAGGGTCGCGACGCAGAGGCAGGCAATGGCCAACTGCCTCTGAAACGTCTCTTGCCTTAAAAACAAGTCTTGCTCGCCACCTATGGGTGTATAGTGCTAAAAGAGCTAGAACTTCTGGCTGCCGGACAATCTTCGGATCTCCTGGCTATCCTACACACAATGCCATATAATACTAATCGTAATAGTAATACTTAGGTCATATCGTTGGCTGTGTCCTCCGAGCAGTTCCTTTGGGTGACCCGCCCCTTCTCCCCCCGCCTGCAGCTGTGAACGTGACTGAGAGTGGGTGGTGGCTGGCGCCGCCCTGGTTGTTTGGCTGGTGGCCTCCAGAGCTCAGGGGTTGCCCGGGGCTCCGTCATGCACGCCTGCCGGTGCTAATGGATGTTTTCTTTTTGTGGCAGGTGATGTTCCTTCAGAGGAAGGACCAGGTGATCATGACCATTGAACTGCTGGACACAGAAGAGACCCAGACTGAAGACCCGGTGGAGGTCCAGGTTAATTTCCGCCATGCCCATACCGGGGGGGGGCGGGGGGCGGGGTTTGCAAATGTTGGTGCCTTATCAGGCTCCTTCCAGGAAGCAAAGAATTTGACCCCTCCCCCTGCATCTCCTCCAGCACTTGGCTAACTACGTGGAGCAGTACATGGGGGTGGAGGGCGCCCTGAGCGGTCAGAATGAAGGCTTCGTTTTGAAACCCGTCTTCCTGCAAAGGTGCGTGCACTGAGGGGGGCACAGAGAGAGCATCTCTTCACCCGTCTGTCCTACTCTTACGCCTCCCCCGGGCGGCTGTGGATGGATCTTCCCCAAACAAGCCCTGCCCTGCAGCTAAGATCTGACTCCTTTCTTAGCTGCTGCTTGGCTTGGCTTGGCTTGGCAGGGGGGCTGCTGCCTTGTGGGTGAAATTGAGGCAGGATTGTCTCTCTGGTGGACAGAAGGCAGCGACGGGGGTGGGGGGCAGGGGGCAGGGCTCCTGAATCAACCATAGTGGCAGATGCTGATCTCCTGGGAGGGTTTTCTGCGGGTCGCTTCTGGTGCCGGTCTTCCTGGCTAACCGCTCCAGGCTGACGTTTGCCTCTCCTCGCCTCAGGAACCTTCGGAAGTTCCGTCGCTGGCAGTGCCAGCAGGTCCAGGCCTGGCGCAACAAAGCCAAGAGCTCTTGGAAGCAGCTGATTGGGGTGGAGAGTGCCTGCAACGTGGACTGCAAGTTCAAGCTGAACACCCACAAGATGCTGTTTGTCACGAACGCGGAGGACTACATGTACCGCCGGGGGGCCCTGTCCCGGGCCAGTCGGGTGCGTCTTGGGGTTGAGGCCCTTTCCCCTGGCAGAGGGCTGCCCCGGCCGGCCTGACCCCTCTTCTCCCCGTCTGCCTTGCAGGCACAGCCCCTCGTCTTGCTGCGGCACCACCGGCACTTTGAGGAGTGGCACCAGCGCTGGCTGGGGAGGCACGTGACTGCGGAGGCCGCGGAGCTGGTCCAGGACTGGCTGATGGGGGACGAGGACGAGGACTTGGTGCCTTGCAAGACCACCTGTGAGACCACGAGCATCCACGGGGTTCCGGTCAACCGCTACCGGGTGCAGTACAGCCGCCAGCCAGCCTCTCCCTGACTGCCAGGCCTCTGGGACCCGCGTGGGCGCCGTGTATGTATCCCTGGTATTTCTCTGGCCAGCATTTTCCTTTGGGTTATATGAGAGTTGGGGACAAGGAAGGCATGTTTTTTTCCCCCACGCGGCACAGACGAGATTTGCCCTGGCTGGGCGGAACTGGAGCCCCTGTGCAAACTGGGGCTAGTCAGCAGTGTGTGCTGAGAGGGCGTTCGAACCTGCCAGAGAGTCTTTTGGCTGGAGGAAAGGGGGCCGGAGTGTGTGTTGAGCAAACTGGGGGCCGGAGGCACAGAGCCAAGCCAGAAAGTCTGTTTCTGGCCTGTGGGCTAAGGTTACCGGGCCTCTGGCAAGGGCCTGCCGCTCCAGCGCCGTGGGCCCGTGTGAGGCTGCCGTGAGGGCCCTTTCCCCTGTCTTTCCCTGGCTCTGGTCCGTGGCCTCTGCTTCCGTGTAATTCCGGCAGCTGTTCCACGTCATAGGACAACTGGTGAACCGCCAGCCCTGCGGTGTTTGCACAAAGGGAGGAGGGTGCTGTTCTGTCAGGGCTCGGAGAAGGTCGGGATCGGCTTGCAACCTGGTGGGGCTGCTGACCCTCTTTTCCCGATTGCTGGTGCAAATACGATGTGCTCAGTGGGTTTCAAAGGGCCTGGTGGATCCCCTCAACACTCCGGTAGCCGCCCCCCCCCCCGTTCCCCCCCCCCCCCCGTGCCTCTTTTTCAAAGTTTATTAAGGCAGCACGAGAGGATCCCCTGCCAGGGGGAAAGACGGGACCAGCGTCTCAGTGATGCCGGAATCTTCAGAGAGCAGGGCTGGTCCCCCACTATTGCCCACCCAGTTTGTGATGGGGCGGGGCAGGGGGGGGAGGTAGTCCTTGCACAGTGAGAGCTTCGTTCTGTAAGATAGTCCATGGGAGAAGCTCAATCCTCGTCAGCAGCAGCCACCGGCCTCCCCCTACTCAGCAGAGAAGGAGCTCGTGGTGCTTGTCGGCACTTGCATACGGGGCGGGGGGGGGGAGCAGTAGAACTCCATTTTCCCTGCCCGGGGAACGAAGGGGAAGGCGTCCAACACCTGACGGAGGTTAGACCCCGTGCTGTGCACATCGTGGACCCGCCCCCTCCCCCTCCTGCCTCTTCCTCCATTTCCCAAGCAGAGAGAACCAGCGGTGCCAAATTCTCGTTTACCACCAAGGACTTCATGCTAGCTTGTGGCTTGGCTTGTGTTTTGCGGTTTGGGGGGGGGGCATTGTGAGGTTTGTGACTCCTGTCCTCTTCTCCTGTTCCACCCCACGCCACTCCCCTCCCCACCCCTTCCCCTCTCTTTTAGAAGTGTACTTTGGGCCATTGTTACGTGTCCTTAATTTTATATCCAGATTAATTTATAATCTTGAGTGGATCAAGTAAGCATGTGGCTGCCTCATCCCAGATGCGGTAGCTGGGAGGGCCACGGCTGGAGAACAGGAGGCGGTTCTTCCCTTTTCTGGAGGATCTCTGGCTTGGGGGGGGGGGATGCTTGTCTTTGCTTGGCCAACTCGTCTGAATGTAGTTTCTTTTTTTAAAAAAAATATTTATTTGCACATCAAGTAAAATAAAATATTCATTTTGAAACAGGGCGACTCCTGTCTGTCTTTGTCACGTTATGAATTGGCTTTAGATCAGCTGTACAGTTGACATCGTGGCCCCTGGGGCAAGCTCGCAGGAGGCCGGTCTGTCAGCCGTCCAAGCGCCCTGGCTTCACTCGGGCAGCACCAACGCAGCCAGCATTCGGCTTCTTTCTCGGGGTTGGGGGGGGGGAGGCTCTCTCCGGCACCCGCGAACCACCTGGATCCTTCCACTGGAGGTGAATTGGAGACTTACACCAGCTCAGCAATGGAGCCGTAGAGCTTTTGCAGGCGGGGAGCCCTCTGGCACTCTGCCCGGTGGCAGACGTACGACCCGAGGAGTGGACGTGGGAATTCTGCAGCAGGCTGAATTGGGGCTCTTGTGGTGGGTGGGGGGGCGTCACAGCCGGTCCTGCCTGCTGTGGTGCTTCTGCATCTGGCTCTGAGTCTGGTGCTGTTCAGAGAATTCCTTTCGCTGGAAGAGTCCACAGGGAGCCAGCTGGGCTCTGACGCGCAAAGGGGAGCCGACCTCTGTCAGCAAGGCCGTTGCCATTGAGGCCGCCTTGAACTGCCTTCTGGTCCTCTTGCAGATCCCCGGGGATTCATGGAGACTAGTGTGTGGGGGGGTGGCCCTCCCTTGCACACTGCCCGAGGCACTTGAGAGAGCATCTCTCCCTCCTCTACGGCCCAGGCTGCTGGCTCGGATCAAAAAACGTCTCTAACGCAAGTTTGCCTGTCTGCACTGGAAGCCACTGGGGAGAGGGGAGCAGAATCCTTTGTGAAGGCCGCTCCGAAGTCCGGTCCCTGAGCAGAAAGCGCCTTGGCAAACACTCCTTAGGAAAGAATAGCCCCTCCCCTCCCACCAGCAGAGCCACTGGCTGTAGCCCAGGGGGAAACCCTCTCCCGTCAGTGTAGCACTGAAGAACACTCTCGTTCCCCACGCCTGCATTTGGCTGCATTCATTCCCCCCTAATCTCGCCTCACCATCAACAGGACCAGAAGCCGGCAGAAGGATGTCAAGGGAGGCCATGTCTCCTTGGCCAGAGAGGCACTGCGGGGTAGTGGTTAGCGTGGGACTAAGATCTAGGGCTTCCTCCCCACTTGCTGGGTGACCTTGGGCCAGGCACACCCTCTCCGCCTAACTGAGTTCTCATTGTGAGGATAAAGAGGAGGAAAGCCCGAACCACGTGAGCTGCTTTGGGTCCCCGCTGGGGAGGAAGGGAGGATATAAATAAAGCAAGGAAGTAGAAATAAGTGGTTGGTCCCTCCACCACCACCACGCTTTGTGGCCGCGCCCCTCCGTCTCCCCTTGGCTTGCACCGCACATCAGTGGCCAGCAGGCTCTCTTCCACGGCTTCTGGCAGCAGCTGCACTCACCCCCCCCCCGGCCTGCTGCAGGGAGGGGGGAAACCGTGTCTGTGTCTGTCATTACCGGGCTTTGCAAGCCCCTGGGAATTTGCCACCTTCAAACACCCGCCCCCCAATGCCCATTCTGGAACATGAGGCTTGGCATTGTTGTGCTTTGATCTGAACTGGTTTGGCCCCTTTGGGACGAAAAGCGGCTTCCTTGCACGTGTCTGTCCTCGTCATGCTCTCCAGCAGTTGCTCAAGTTAGCCTGACCTGCCCTCCAAGGGGGACGTCCCTGTGTCCAGGGCTAACGTGGCTGGGCTATGGCTGGGGCAGAAGGAACCAAAGGCCTGCTGGGTCGTTGGGCATGGACCTCTGACTTTCTGCAGCTTTCTGTCTGAAGAGACTGGCACAAAGAGGATTTTCCCCCCAGGCCGCACGCTGTACAGAGAGGAGACACAAATCAAGGTGGAACGACTGTCCGTGAAATCACAGATTTCGACCAAGCCAGCCTTCCAGCCACGCCCCTCGATCCCCTGTTCCTCTGGCCCTTGGGGCTGGTGAACTGAAAACGGCTGACAATGGAGGATGGAATGAGTAGAGCTGTCCCCAGCAGTTCCAGCCTATTTCCACAGGTCACTGACTATACCAAACATCGTCCTCCTTTTCGAACCAAACCTACATTCAAAGAGGGACGTCTATCCCAAAAAGTTCACCTTTCCAAAACTGTGTCTCTCCACCTTTCCTGAAGCACTACAACCTGCAAGCTGCAAAATTCTCTCTTGACTTGTGAATCCACATTTATGGGCACGGAGAAGAGCACGACAGAAATGGTGGGAAACAGGGCTATTTTTGGGCAGGAATGCACAGGAACGGAGTTCCGGCTGGCTCCTGAGTTAGCCATGCCCAGCAGGAACTCATTAGCATAATAGGCCACACCCAACAGCAGAAACTCATTAGGGTTGGCTACATTAGGGGTGTGTGGCCTAACATGCAAAGGAGTTCCTGCTACGAAAAAAGGCCCTGGGTTTTGACAACAAACAAGGTAAACAGAATAAGAAGCAAAAGGTGGGTGTGGCTGGATGACCACACTTCTGGTAACATGGGGGTGTGGCCTAATGTGCTAACGAGCAGTACTGTCAGGGGTGTGGCCTAATATGCTAATGAATTTTGCTGTTGGGTGTGGCCTATTATGCTAATGAGTTCCTGCTGGGCTTTTTCTACAAAAAGAGCCCTGGTGGGAAATATATTCTTTTGGGTGTGTGTGAGGGTTGTTTTACCAAATCCAGGAAGTACACCAAAATTATTTAACCAAGGCTCCTGCAAAGAGGAAATAGCAACATTACTTGGTACACTGCCAGATTACTTGGTACAAAGGGAATGAGCTGTTGGACTAGCCACTGGGCTGTCCTCCCCTTCAAGAGCCAATCAATCGGCCGGGGTGGGGGGAGCAGGCAGCCCTGGCAAATCTTTCCAAGCACGCCCAGCCCTGCAGGGACCATTCATTAGTACCCAGTAGCTTTAGAAGTTTACCCAATGACAAAAGTCCTCCCCAAGTCCTAAACTAGCCATCATGCCTTCCTTTAGATTAGGCATGATTCTACTCACCTTTCTATCAAGCCAGATTTAAATCTCAATCCTATCAATTGTTTTTAAAGTATCAGTGATGTAGAATGCAGTGACCCGGGTGCCACTAGTTTGCAGTTGCAAAGAAGCATGTCTCTGCTATTCCAAGCTCCCTTGCAGGACATATGTAATAATTTGACATCTCATCCATACATTAAAATGGATGCCAGTCCTGTAAATTAACATTCAGGAGAGACAAGAAAGGGACATGCAAAGAGCATCTAATTTCCCCCTCTGGACGCCTTTCCCACACTATTTTCTCTCTTCCTCCCTTTTCCCTGCATCCCGTGTACAAATCTACTGTTGGGCTGGATCCAGGTGGCTTTTTTCTCTCCCTCTTATTACAGCCATCAGCTCATAGAGCTTCTTTATGTGCCAGAATGCCCTTTTTGGCCATCTGTGGGGAGACACCTCCTTTCTAAGGCCTGCCTGCTGCAGAATTAGATATAATGAACTTAGACTCTCAATTTTCTCATACAAACTGGAAATGCTGATAGAATATTATTTGCAGCTGTCGACGTTTTAGTACTTATTCCTGATGGAATAAACTGAGCATGTAAGATAGAAGTCAGAAGGACTAATGGGTGCCCCTTCCTGGACCTAGAGCTTTGTTACTTTTCAAAGCAGCAGTAGATTGCTTGATTTAACGTGCAGATATAGGCTTATCAAGAAATATCCGGTATGCTTTAGAGGGGTTTTTTTCTTCTTGTTTTTTAACATTTAAAAAAACCCTGGGTTTTTGGACTGATCAGCAAAGATCAATGGGTATATGAAAACAAATGGGGAAAACATGGGGCAGTTAATATATTGGAGAGAGCCCGTGTGGTGTGATGGTTACAAGGGAGGATGAAATGGGAGGGAGAGCCAGACATGTGTTGCCTGGAGCTGCTGGCAGAAAGAGCAGGATAAAGGTGTCCTAAGTAGAAGAAGAGATTGGATTTATACCCCGCCCTTCACTACCCAAGGGAGTCTCAGAGGGGCTTACAAGCTCCTTTTCCCTTCCCCTCCCCACAACAGACACCCTGTGAGGTGGGTGGGGCCGAGAGAGCTCTGACAGAAACTGCTCTTTTTCAAGAACAGCTCTTGTCAGAACTATGGCTTGCCCAAGGTCATCCAGCAGGTGCAAGTGGAGGAGTGGGGAATCAAACCCGGATCTCCCAGATTAGAGTCCGTGCACTTAACCACTACACCAAACTGGCATGAGAATTTATAGAACAACGTTTGAGTCCAGTGGCACCTTTAACTCCAATAAAGTTTAATTCAGGGTACAAACTTTCGTGTGCATGCATGTGCACCTGCACATGAAAGCCTCTACCCAGACTGGTGCCCCTGGATTCTAACTTTGTTCTGTTGCTTCAGAGCAGCACGGTGACCCACCTGAATATATAAAGTCTTGTTTCATATTGGCCGTAAGAACTTTATAATGTCAGTTAGTGTGTCTGACTTATCATAAGGAAGTTACCCCAACTGCTGCTGCCCAAATCTGAGTCTCTAATGTCCCAGGAACAACTAGCTGTGATATTTTTGCCAAGTTTTTCTCCGATAGAATACCAAGAATCTGAGTGTCAGTTATAACATAGGTACACCAGAAGGACTGCAGGCTGTGGAAGGTCGGTAGTTCAGCAGTTCGAGATCCGAGTGCCGCATGACGGAGTGAGCTCCTGTCTCTGGTTCCAGCTCCTGCCAATCCAGCAGTTTGAAAGCAAGAAATTGCAAGTAGATAAATAGGTACCACTTCGGTGGGAAGGTAACTGCGTTCCGAGTGCCTTGGCGTTTAGTCATGCAGGCCACATGACCACGGAAACGTCTTTGGACAGCGCTGGCTCTTCGGCTTGGAAATGGAGATGAGCACCGCAACCCTAGAGTCGGATTCGGCTGGCTTTTGAGCAAGGGAAATCTTTACCTTACACCAGAAGTAAGCCCTAATATACCACCTGGGCCACTTATGGATCTTTTTGACCCACCTTCCATGATGGCTGTGGACAAGATCCTAGGATCTGTGAAGGCCACTACTTGTACTCTGGATCCTTGCCCCCTCCTGACTGCTAACATCATGCAAGGACCACATCAACACACCCTTAACGAACTGAGTCACTAACTCAGGGCGCCTTCCCTCAGACCCTCAAAGAAGCGGCTGGTCTGCTGCTACTTAAAAACCATTCCTATAGAAAATGAAGCAGCCAATTATCTCACGGTTTCACATCTACCCTATCCAGGCAAAGTGTGTGAGAGAGCAGTAGCAAACCAACTCCAGGTCTACTTGACTAATTCATCTGCTCTGGGCCCTTCTTCAGTCTGGTTTCAGGCCAGGCTATGGAAGAGTGAGGGTGGAGCGGCAGCTTGTGGGAAACCTGTCTGGCTTAAAAAGTGAACAAATTGAAGCTGAATCCTGACAAGATGGAAGTAATGCTGGTTGGGAAGGCAGAGGCCTTGAAGGACATTGTTCCCCTCACTGTTGATGGAGTTCAGCTGACCCTTGCTGACTCAGTTAAAAGCCCTGGGGTCATATTGGGTCCAGCTTTATTACTGGAGAAGCAAGTCAATGCAGCGGCAAAAAAAAAAAGGCTTTCTACCCACTCAGCCTAAGCCGTAAGATGGCCCTGTACTTTTACGCAGCTGACCTGGCTACCGGGATCCATGCCACAGTAACATCGAGCAGAGGTCATTTCAGGGGGGGGGGGATCACAGGGGATTGCAGTTCCCCCGGGTGAGGTACGGGGGGGTGGGGCACATGATGAAGCCCCACCCCCTGCTTCCGGCCGCCCCACTTCCAGCCCTCATTCAGCCAGGAGGAGGCAGGAGAAGAGGGATGCCAGGCCCCTCATGGGGCTCGGCAGTGGACCTGCAAGGCTGGCGGCGGCGGTGGGGTGTGTGGCCTAATGACACACTTCTGGTGATGTCAGGGGGTGTGGCCTTATGACACACTTCCGGTGATGTCAGGGGGTGTGGCATATGCTAATGAGTTATGCTAATGATTTCCCTAGCTCTTTTTCTACGAAACGACCCGACATCGAGACTACTGTATCACACACTGTTCATTGGTCTCTCCTCAAAATGAACTCAGAAACTCCAGAGTCCAGAATGCTGCGGATCGACCATTAGCAGTAGCCAGATGGAGCATACAAATTACTCCCATTCTCCAGACAACTCCATTGTTACCAAGCTCCGTTTAAGATATTGCCGATCCACATGCAAAGCTCTTCACGGCCTTGGCCCCTCTCATTTACAGGCCGGCTTCTCTCCCTATGAGCCGTCCTGCCAGCAGCACGCAGGTCAGCAGGGGCTTCAGCAGCTGGCAACCAGCAAATGGACAAAACCAACCAGCGCCTGCCCGCCCATGCCCCTTCTCCCCTGTGGCTCCTGCATGGTGGGATGGGGCCTGCCCCCCCCCCCCCCCGCTTCCTGGCCTTCCTCAGCCTAGGCAAAACTGAACCCTTCGAGAGGGCTTTTCCACACAGTTCATAGGGTTGCCCTGCACCAAATTGTTTTACAAACTTGTTTGGATCAGTGATTAGGGACTTTATACCGCTGCGTACAGCTTATTGTATGTAGGATCCTATAATGTAATTTCTGTACTGCTTAATGTGTCCTGTGAATTCTTATGCTGCGCTTCCGTTTCTTTCTGGTGGTTCCAGACTTCTCCAATCCTAATGCATTTGATGGTTGAATGTCCCATCTTGCCGATGGTGCTGGCTCACGCCCTGTAATCCGCCTTGAGTCCCCGTGAGAAAGGCGGACAATATATAACGTAAATAAATAAATATTTTTGGCAGATGTGGTAAAAAGCCCGAGACCTTTTCTCATCTGGTGTGTGCGCGGGTGCATGCACATGTACACAGATGGGGATATACGTAATGTCAGTAGCCTAGTCTGCTACTGCATGTTTTGTAATCCCTGGGGTGATTTTTCTGGGGTGGTTAAAAGTGAACATCGACTAATTATGACGGCACAGAGTGAGTGTGGCTCATTGAATTTGTATGGAGCAAGGATACTGGGGCACTTTTAAAACACCTACAGAGAGGAGTTGAGCAAGAGACCAGAAAGACCATGCTGTCTCCAAGGGAACATCCTGAGTTCCTTCCTCCCCCCTTGAAGCCATTTCCTGGCTGTTATCAGGGTTTTGTGGCCGCTTCCCCTCCCCCAGTGCAGGAAGAGCTCAGGGCTGAACCATCCAGCATAGGAAGAGATTCAGCCTCAGCCTCTGACCCTGCCTTGGAAATTCCATGCAGGTGCGCTTCTGGGGGGGCATTCTCCACAACACACTTGAAGCAGCAACCCCCCCCCCCTTTAAAGAAGGCCTGTGCTGCAATGGTCCCTCTAAGCTGTGGAGCCTTGCAAGCAAAAAAACCTTGTGAGCTACCAGCATTAAAGTTGCGAGCGAGCGATTTGGCTGCTGCATAAATTAGTTTGCTCTGGAGCTATCCTCCCTCTAAGCTGTGGAGTCTTGTGAGCAAAAATTCCACCTTGTGAGCTACCGGCATTAAAGTTGCGAGCGAGCGATTTGGCTGCTGCGTAAATTAGTTTGCTCTGGAGCGATCCTCCCTCTAAGCTGTGGAGTCTCGCAGGCAAAAATTCTACCTTGTGAGCTACCGGCATTAAAGTTGCGAGCGAGCGATTTGGCTGCTGCATAAATTAGGTTGCTCTGGAGCCCTCCTTCCTGAGCTAAGACAAAAATGTGTGAGCCAGAGTCTAAAAAACTGTGAGCTGGGTCACACTAGCTTAGCATAGAGGGAACACTGCCTGTGGGCCTGTCTTCTTACGGGTCCAACCCCGCCCCCTGCTGCTTGGCTGCTCCCTCTCCCTGGTCCATGAGGATGCTGCCCACCTGTTCATAACTGGCCTGCGTTGGTCCTGGGGGGGGGGATATCTCAGGAACACCCACACCGAGACTGCAGCCAGAGGAGGGGAAGGCAAAGAGCCCAGCCTGTCCGCAAGTGACACTTCCTCTGCACCGTCACTCGTTCTTCCACGTCAAGGGGAAAAAATAGCCAGAGCCACCCTCCCCTTCTGAAGTGTGGGGTGGTGGTGGTTGGGGGTGGTCCTTGGTGTTTCCTGGAGTTAAGAGGCTGAAGCAGGAAATGACACTGGGAGCCAAACCACTCCGTAGTCCCGGAGCAGAATGGCAGGCTGCACATGGGGCCCCCGCTTTTGCCTGCTTCTTCTCGGGTGCTTGTGGAAGCTGGCCCTGGCGGCCGTGGACTATGACGGTAAGCGGCGACTTGGGGGGGGGGGGCCTTCCTGACGCGCAGAGGAGAGAACCCCGGAAGCGGCAGCTGCTTCGATGCTTACAAGCCAGCCAAACCTTAGTCCATGTGGGCAAGGCGGGCAGCTGGAGCTCTCTGTGGACCCATAATGAGCCTGTCTCATGGGACCCTCCCCTACAGAGGCCGCGTGCAGAGTGAGTGAGGATGCCCGCTGCCTTGGAGAAGACCAGCAGCTCCCTCTCTCCTGCTTCCACAAGCGACGCAAAACTGAACTATTCGGGAGGGCTTTTTCTCCAAAGGCGACAGGGCTGCACTGTGCAAAACGATTCATAAAAAGTCATTTGGATAAATTGTTAAGGACTGTGGCCTATGCGGCTGCCTACAGACTGCGATAAGCAGCCTACGGCATAATTTGGCACCGTTTAACGTGTCGTGTGAGAACGTAATGCCGTGCTTCAGGTTTCTGCTTGGTTCTCCGCCCCTGATCCTCCTGTGTTGTTTTCTGATCTGCCTCGGGGCCCGTTGAGAAAGGCAAACCAGAAAGAACACAAATAAATCCAGCGGGGGGGGGGGGGAGCGGTGCCCACAGGTGGGGAGGGCAGCTCACTCCGCTGCCCCCTGAGCAGCACTTCAAAGCATCACGACCTGTGTTCCCTCTAAGCTGAGTTAGCGTGAGCTAGCTCACAGTTTTTTAGCCTCCAGCTCACACATTTTTGTCTTAGAGCTCAGGAAGGAGGGCTCCAGAGCAAACCGATTCATGCAGCAGCCAAACCGCTCACTCACCACTTTAATGCCAGTAGCCCACAAAGTAGAACTCTTGCTCACAGGACTCCACAGCCTAGAGGGAGCATTGGTCCCGACCAGCTTTAGCTTTTAAAAAGCATGCCACAAGAGGGGAGTGTGGGGGGGGAGGGGGCCCCAGTGAAGGCCCAGCATGTTAGGGAACATCAGGCATTCCCCCCCTGCCTCTCACTAACCAGTCTCCTCCTGTCGCCAGACTACGAGCCCAACAGCACCGACGACGGGCAGCCCCACCTTTCCAACGGGCTGTGCCCACGTGCCATCCCGGGGCAGGAAGTGTGGCACAACGGCACTCTCTTCCTGACCATCCCCGCCGCGTCCCGCCTTCAGCTCAGCAGCCTGCTCATCACCCTCCTCCTGCCCTCCGCCTACACGGCCGTCTTCCTGGTGGGGCTGCCCCTGAACGGGCTGGCGCTCTGGGTGCTGGCCACCCACGTGGAGAAGCTGCCCTCCACCATCTTCCTGATGAACCTGGCCGCGGTCGACCTCCTGCTGGGGCTCCTCCTCCCTTTCAAGATCGCCTACTACTTCCTGGGCAACCACTGGCCCTTTGGCGAGGGGATGTGCCGCTTCACCACCGCGGCCTTCTACGGGAACATGTACGGCTCGATGCTCCTGCTGGCGTGCATCAGCGTGGACCGCTACCTGGGCATCGCCCACCCGTTCTTCGCCCGCTCCTGCCGCAGCCTGGCCGTCGCCACGGGCACCTGCTCTGTCGTCTGGGTGGCAGCCGTCCTCTTCGTGGTGCCCCTGACCCTCCGCCGCCAATCGTTCCCACTAAACGGAACCGTGCTCACGGTCTGCCACGACGTCCTGCCCCACGTTCAGGAGGCTGGGTACAATTACTACTACTTCCTCTGCCTCGTGGCCTGCGGTTTCCTCGCCCCTCTGCTCACCATGGTGCTCAGCTCCAGCGCGATGCTTAGGGTCCTGCTGGGCAGCGGGGAGAAGTACGCGACCGCCATCAAACTGACGGTGCTGGTCCTCTCCACCGTGGTGGCCTTCTACACCCCCAGCAACGTCCTGCTGCTCCTCCACTACGCTCACTCCTGCTCCCAGCACCAGGGGGCCCTCTACGTGGCCTACATCGTCAGCCTGGCCCTCACCACGTGCAACAGCTGCGCCGACCCCTTCGTCTACTACTACGTCTCGGAAGAGTTCCGGGCCAAGGTGAGGGCCCGCCTCTTCCACCGACGGAAGAGCTCCACTGTCTCCCTAAAGACCTCCAAGGAGACCTTGCCCCTCCGGAGCTCACACTCCCTGGTGTAAGAGAGAGAGGCGCCTCTCTCCTCCAGCCACGCTCGGGCCCTAGGGCCAGGGGAAGAAGGCGCGGAATCTGTGCTGCCGAGAGAAGACCCACGATGAGTCGGCTTCTGGCTGCAACCAGCCCTGGAGCTGCAGCGGGGATGGAGACTGTGGCCCTGGGCTGCCTTCCTCCTCCTCCTCCTGCCACACCCAGTGCTCGTTTGGCTTCTGCCAGGGACTCACTTGGGGTGGGGCTCCTAGGCTGGCCCAGGGCCCCCTTGCTGGCTCTGCTGCAGCCAAGCTCTCGCAGGGCATGTGGACGGCCAACACGGACCTCAAGGGGGCATCCCAGGAACAGGGAGCCACTAGTCCAGCCCTGGCTGACCCCAGCCTGACACTCTGGGCATGCGCAGGGGGAAGAAGGCAAAAGAGGCAGCCGTAGTTTTATAAATCAGTTTTTAATAAAAATATTTCATCAGTATCTAAGTCCAACTTGTTTTCTTCGCCCCTCCACCCCGGGCTCTCCCTTGCACCATGAACAGAGTCAAGCCCGGCTCTGAGCATCTGCAGGCGGGGGGGAGGGCAAAGGGCCTGCTCCGGCGAACGCCGGGAGCCGACAGAAGAGCTGGAAAAGTGCAGCCGGGGTGGGCAAGACCAGAAGCCTCACGGGAGCAGCCAGTGAGGTTGGAGGAGGGAGCCTCAAAGGAAGCCGGCCGGTCCCCTCTCTCATGCCTTTCGGGGGAGGCCACAGCCGCCGGGGGCCTTCTTCAGAAAGCCTCCGCTCTGTCCGGCTTAGCATCTTTCGGCCACACTCCTGCTCCAGTCCTTAAGAAGCCCATCACAGGAAGGGAGACCCACACCCTCAGAGAGCCAAGAGGGAAACAGGCATGGAAGCGGAAGGGGGAGGGGGAGGGGGAAGCAAAGCCCCACCCCGGCCATCTTGAGGAGAGACGGCGCTTGGGGGCAGAGGCAAAGGGGGGGGCCTGAGCAAATCTCCC